CGTTGCGCTTTATTTGATATTTGTAGAATAATCAACAGGTTTGTTGGGTGTTTTCAACAAAAATCTTCAAAGAATTGATTATGGTTTAGCTCAACTGTAGAATAACAAATTTTGCATGCCTTTTTATTTTTTCTGGATAAGCTTAATTCTGACATGATATTTCTTAAAGACATCAGAGGATCAAATGATAAACATACTGGTGATACAATTTGGCTCTGTCCTAGTAGCCTTAGCTGAGATATTGAACATTACTCAATTAAATTTCATATCTTTGGTTATACTGTGTTTCTTTTTCTGAATATAAACATTATATTTGGTTATATGTGGGACCTTTTATATAGCATCATGTGTGGCATTGCTTTTTCTTAGGGATTGTTGCTGGAGCTTTCTTAATGGCCGGTCTATTTCTTCTCTGTTACTTTGTTCGACGCCGTTCCACTTGCTTGAGAAACCAGCTGAGTGCAAGGCGCCTTCTAAGCGAAGCTGCAGGCAACTCTAGTGTTCCATTATATCCCTATAAAGAAATAGAAAGAGCCACTAATTGCTTTGCTGAGAAACAGAGGTTGGGCACAGGGGCTTTTGGTATAGTTTATGCCGGAAAACTCCACAATGATGAGTGGGTTGCCATAAAAAAGATTAACCGGCGAGACACCAACAGCATTGATCAAGTCATGAATGAGATCAAGCTCCTTTCCTCTGTGAGCCACCCGAATCTAGTACGCCTCTTAGGTTGCTGCATAGAGGGAGGTGAACAGATCCTTGTCTATGAATATATGCCTAATGGAACTCTATCTGAGCATCTGCAAAGAGAGAGGGGCCAAGGACTTCCATGGACCATAAGGCTCACGATTGCTGCCGAAACTGCTAATGCTATAGCCTATCTCCATTCTGCAATCAATCCACCAATCTATCATAGAGACATCAAATCCAGCAATATACTCCTGGACTACAACTACAAATCAAAGGTAGCAGATTTTGGTCTTTCTAGACTTGGGATGACAGAATCATCATACATATCAACAGCACCACAAGGGACTCCGGGCTATGTAGATCCTCAATACCATCAAAATTTCCACCTTTCTGATAAAAGTGATGTTTACAGTTTTGGGGTAGTGTTAGTAGAGATAATAACCGCGATGAAGGTGGTTGATTTCGCTCGACCTCAAAGTGAGGTTAATTTGGCTGCACTTGCTATTGATAGGATTGGGAGGGGATGCGTGGATGAGATAGTGGATCCCTTTCTTGAGCCAAACAGGGATGCTTGGACTCTTTACTCAGTTAACAAGGTGGCTGAGCTTGCATTTAGGTGCCTTGCTTTTCACAGTGACATGAGGCCTTCTATGATAGAAGTGGCAGAAGAACTAGAGTACGTCCGGCGCAGTGGGTGGGCAACAATGGAGGAAAATATATGCATGGAATCATCTGTGGCATCCTCTTGTTCATCGCCATATAACGGAAGCGAGAAGTCGTTGGGAAGTGTGATGACTAAGAAGGCCAGCATACGAAGCCAAAGATCAATTGCTTCACTAAGGGTGGATAGTTCTCTAGCTACCATGGAGGAGGACAAGGATAGCTCCCCTGTTTGTGTACATGATCATTGGTTAAGTGAACAGAGTTCACCTTCAACAAACAGCTTATTGGGTAATGCAGTTCACACATAAGATTAAGACAGACTCTACTCTTTTTGTGTGCTTAGCCTCATATATATTACCATCGTATAAAAAAGAACTGTTAATAGTGAAAACCATAGAGGTATTTTTGTCTTTTTATTGTGCTTTGATTCTCTTGTTTACTCAATTACAGGGTAGAAAATGTAGAAAAATAAGATAAAGGAGTGCAAATGGATAAAATATGAATGCGAAACTCGTGACGTCTAATATACGGCCACCATTTCCGCATGAAAAAAAAAATACGGCCACCATAATCTCTGTATTTGATATACAAATTTCAAATCATACGTTAGTACCAAATACATTGTGGATTCATTAATAAATTGTGCATTTTGTTGGATTCAAAAGCATCTTGACCATTATTGCATTTACTTTAATCCATTTATATATATATATATATATAATTAAGATATGGCTTTATATAATTAAAAAAAAATAGATGCAAAAAAAATACAATTGTGCAATGATTGGTTGCTTAATAGTACCTTATCAAAGGATAACAAATTAAAATGATAAGATGCAAAACCTTCATATGGGCGCACGACAATTTTTTATTGTTATTATTATTTTGCTACATCCAAAATTCTCTTTTGGTGATCAACTTATAGGCAGCCTAATTATTTAGGGTCACAAACTTGATGACATTCTTGTTGAGTTGGCCAGCAGTCCTGGCTAATGGCGCAACACCAGCATTGTCGTCCCTGAGTTTGTGAACATTGTTCTGAGCAAAACGTCAGTTTGCTCCCCCATACTTTCACAACATCACCTCTCACCCTTAAACTCTCAACCACATTGCTTTGCACGCTGCTTTCATTGCCTGTTTATAAACAGTGTCACATGGAAAAATTAATTAATAAATAAATCTTGATTTGAGATGTTAATTAATCTTGGATTGACAAGCATGAAGTGGAGATAAATCAAGTGCTTACATTCAGAAAGAGCCAAGAGGGATATGAAGACCATGCAAAACAGAACCAACTGCACCTTCATTGCCATTGATGATTTGTTTGAGAGAGTGATCAAGATGCAAACCTTGTGGTGATATGAGGTCAAACTATTGTTGGGTTTTTATAATAAGATAATTTAAGCCTCAATTTATTAGTGAGGATCCATGGGGATAGCATAGAATCCAACAACACTAGGAAAGTAGCGAGCTAATTGGAACTGCTTTAAAGTTCTTAATTGCAATTACCTTTTATAGTAAATCAAATCTAAGGTCCTTGTTTCTGTTAATTTTGGGTTACGTGAAGGGTTGTGCATGCATCTAGTGCAAATCCAATCCCCTCCACTTGTAATGGTTTTACCTTTTTTTAAAAAAAACAGTTGAATGCAATTAGATATGGATTACATGGTTACAAATCCAATGAAATCCGATTCAATCTATGATTCAGTGTGTTTTTACCAAACCTTTCACATTTGGTAAATCAAATCTAAGGTCCTTGTTTCTGTTAATTTTGGGTTAGGTGAAGGGTTGTGCATGCATCTAGTGCAAATCCAATCCCCTCCACTTGTAATGGTTTTACCTTTTTTTAAAAAACAGTTGAATGCAATTGGATATGGATTACATGGTTACAAATCCAATGAAATCCGATTCAATCTATGATTCAGTGTGTTTTTACCAAACCTTTCACATTTCATTCATACATAATTCCCTTATGGCATGTTCACTTATTTGTAACGGGAGAAGTCATGAACGAGAGAAATCCAGAATAATGATGTCACATGAAAAAAGAAAAAGTAAATAAATATAAATAAAATCTGTAAAATATAAGAAGTAAACTTGGTTAGGTGTTAATTCATCTTTGATTTGATAGGCATGGAGATGATAGATGCTTACATTCAGTAAGAGCCAAATGGGCTACGAAGACGATGCAGAACAGAACCAACTGCACTTTGATTGCCATTTGATGTTTTGTATGAGAGAGTGATTTGATGTTTTGTTTGAGAGAGTGATTTGATGCAAACTTTGTTGTTGTGGTGATATGAGGTCAAAACATTGTTGGGTTTAATAACAAGAAAATTTATTAGTGAACATTCATGGTGAAATATTAGAATCTTTTGGGTTGTGATTGTCTTAGTTCATCAGTTTCTTTTGGGTTACGGTCAATCTAATGCAAATCCAATATACTTGTCGTTTTACCATTTGTAATTGAATGTCTTTATTTACTAAAAATTCCCCATACAATTAAGGCCCGATTGGTAAGTTGGATTATGTAGTTGGATAGGATTTATAATCCTAATCAAATGTTTGGTGCCCAAAAAACAACTTGGATTGGATTATTTCTAATCGTACACTAAAGCCAAATGTAGTAAGATTATGAATCCTACCAAAATGTTGCGATTAAGTTGAATTGGACTATGACTTATCCTACGAAGCCATGTAATAGCACATTTCAATTAATCCAACCCCATAATCATGTGTAGTACCAAACGCATCATTGAATTAGTGTTATAATTTCCAATCCAATGTAATCCAATGGAATCCAATTCTACCTCGTAATCCAATCCAATTCTAGTCACCAAACATGGCATTGGATTAGTCTAGTGGTATTTGTCTCTACTTGGTTAGAGGAGGTCTCAGGTTCGACTCACATGGATAACGAGAACGATATATATTTATAATGAGTTCGATACTTAAATATAAATAGCTTTATTGTTATGACATAACTTTGTAGTGTATTGGCCTGTTGTAAAGATTAATTTATGATACTTGGATTAGAGTCGCAGTGCAGTAGTCACGCCTAAGAATTTTTCCAAACTCAAAAAACAAGCCGTTGTTCTCACGCACTTTGTGTTGTCAAATTGCATAAAATTTAAAAGCATGATGGCTCCCAAAATACTTTTCAAAAGTGGCTCAAGCCAGTTTATTATTTTTTTATTTATTGTACAACATTCAAAAATTAAGCAAAATTCAGCCGAGGCACAAGTCTCTCTGTTGAAGATCCAATTACAGAGCCTAAGCTAGAAGAAGGTATAGCTAGGCTCAGGGGCTAAGGGGCTGCAACCTGCGTTACATTCTTCTCGAGTTGGCCAGCAGTCATGGTGGAAGATCTTAATTGTAAACAAAATCACCTTTTATTTGTAAGCGGATTAATTGTAAATATATATATTAGTTTTGGCAAGTGATCAGTTGTTTCAATTCAAATCTGTAATTACCTTTTATGGAAAAATCAAATCTGAAGGTCCCAGTTTCAGTTTGGTTTTGGGTTTTACCAATGTCACGGAATCTGCCATCCAATTCTGTTTCAATCGGTCTTATTTTTCTCCAGATTGTGTGTTCGAATCCCCCTCCCTCAATAGCACTTGTACCAACTGGCAGAGAAGCTCCCCTCAGAATTCATTCCAGGAAGGTGTATATTATTAATGATTTCTAAGCAAAGTATCAAAGTTACGATACAGGGACTCTCTTCCTTGATAGGACTTTACAATTGCAGTACAAATTTAACCTGTAGAGAAAGCTATGAGCTTGCAGGAGTTAGCCAATAATGCACTGGAGGCATCTGTTCAGGATCGGCAATCGCTATCATTTGCGATATTAATCTGCAGGTTGAAAAATTTCAAGATTCAGTCTCACATGAAATGCAATGGCAATATTGTCAGAAAGATTATACAACAAATATATGTCCTTGGAACTCAGCAGGGTGAACAACTCAATATTAAGCAATCTCTGCAAAGACACTTGAAGTATAAGTTACTCAGCTGGACAGTTATTACCTTTGTATGTAAATCCCTTAAGAACCAGGTGGGTTCTTCTCCAAAAGAAGTTAGCAACTATCCATGACTTCTTGGATCAGCAACTTGGTGAACCTTTCTGGCTTCAGCACTTGAAAACTGCCCCACTACACGAGCGTGAGGTATGGAGGCTTCTCCACGGGCGAGGGCATCCACATTCTCAAGCAGGTACTTCTTTGGAAGCCTACCTACTACGTTACCCTCTTCATTGCCCTTTTTATCTAGGAATGCGAAGTGTGGAATACCCTCAACACCAAACTCATCAAGCTCCTGTTCCCACTTTGTGCTGTCAACATTCAGCATAACAAAATTTACACGACCCCTGAATAAAAAGAGTGGTAAATGTGAAAGATGATAACAGATCTATGGTAAAAGAAGAAACTGTGCATGAGGTAAACATTTCAGGAATGCGTGAGCTTTGAGAATGGAAGACTGTGAAGCTCTTACATATTTAGAGAATCTTAAGGGTTTCAAACATAAATACCCACGAAGGAACATTCACTATTTTCAAGCTTGTAGTAGAGATGCAATTTTAATCAAGAACAAGTTAGAACTTGAAGATCATACTTATACTGCTGCTCAACTTTATAGACATCTGGAGCTAATTCCTTGCATACTTCACACCAATCGGCATAGAACTCAACAACAGTAGGCTTCCCATTTGACAGAGCCTAATCAGCATAAATACAGAATATCATTAGCAAAAACAGCAATGATATCACATTGAAGATTAGGTAAAGATTCATTCACATGCATGTACATTATGGAAAACACAAATAGCTGATTGAATACATGGGGAAATAACAAATCAAGAAAAAGCTTGCGTAGATAATTTGAGAACTTAGAAAATATACGTAACAAAAGATATGCCTTGCCTTTCTGAGAAAGGCATGAGAGAACCAGTTTGTACAAATTAGTGCACTCTCTAAGTTAGAGCATACAAATCCGCTAAAGTTTAAATTCCATTATGAAATAAGGTTTGAGCCTCATCATTGAAATAGTTCATTTGTACTGAAATATCTAAGGTATTGCTTGAGGTTATAGAAACCTTTTTCTAGGTTCTCAACCATGCTCATCACAACTGCCTACCGACCCATCTACATAACCTGTTACACGAGACAAAGTCAAAAGAGCATAGCTAATTGAACAAACCTCTTCATAAGGTAAGGCAGCAACAGATAAGTCCTTCAAAGAAACACCAAAATCTAGTCGTCCTGATAAGAAAAGTGCTAGAGCTGCAAGAGTAGAAACCAATGCTACTTGCTTGTTGGTATTTTTGTTCGGAAACTGTGGAGGGCCAGAGTCTCCTGAGGAACTCGTAGCTTGGCTACTGCTATCATTGCCTGAGCCTGGCTCAACAATCGATTTCTCCTGAATCAGAATAGTTGATGAAGATAACACTAGTCGTACGATAAAATGAACTTTTCAAACTTTTCAAACAAGAAATTTAACCAACACTGGCTCAGATATACAACAATCCACGAAAATAAGGACAAGCACCATAATTCAGGAGAAATTAAGTTTTTTTTCTTATATAAAGAAACACTTTTTCAGACTATGAACTAATGGGCATGCATACTTTGCCAGATGATCAACTTTGCAGTTTCCTTCACTTATGCAACAAAATTATGACATTTTGCTAAACTTAAAGCTCAAAACTTTGGATGCCCATATAGCAAAAATGAAGGCACTAAACTATTTTCAATGGCCCAACTCATAAATTTCAAATCTATCAGCATACCAATGGAAAGTCTATATATAATCATAAACTCCACCTTTTATCAATTAAAAACAACAACTTTGACCTTAACACTTGAAACCCAGTAAAAATAGATTGGCAAATATGCAGAATATTGAAAAGGGAACACTCGTAGCCCTCCAACTAGTGCTTTTAAGCTTCTGCAGAAAAGATTAGAGGCAAAATTTAAGCGTACCGTTGTGGAGGTCTCGGTTGGATCTGGGGTTTGTTGGCAAGAAACGGTCGGAAATCTGCGGTGCTCGTTTCGGAAGTGAAGAGAGGTTCTAGCATGTTGGGGAAGCTGAGCAACCTGGAAACATGGCCGGAATCTATGGAGACCAACTGGGTTTGAAGCCACGCGAGCCATTGCAGATAACTGGTGACACTTTGGGTTAAATTAATTAATCACTATGCCGTACATTGGCTTCTTTTATGGATGAGCGAGGGAGCGAGACTAGAGACTTTTCACGTTTTAACTATATTTAACGACTTTTTTATTTTCCTATAATAACGACTTTCTGATTTTAGATATTTTAAATAATAAAAAAAGAGCTTATGGTGCTCGTCATCTTTCGTGGCACATCGAACTGCCGTACAAATTGCAGGCAGGCGGGGCACAAAATCTCAATCTTTTTTTCTTTTTTTTTTGGGCTATTTGGGTATGAACGCCAACCTGAATTTAATCTCAAAAAAATTCGCGTACAATTAAAAACTTGACTATATAAATTAAACTGGATTTAAATTTTACAGAGCCACGCAGCTAATCAGCACTATAAATTAAGATTACAACAAGCTCACGATTTCTAACTAACTCTCTGGCCCCAAAATCCCATTCACGACCGAAGTCGCCACCAAAACCCCCACAACCTCCGCTCCCGCCACCGCTCCAGCCTGCGCTAGCCCGCCAAAGCTCACCACCGCCTCCACCCCTTTCTCCGCCGTTTCGATCCCTCGCTCTGCTGTTTCAAGCCCCTTCTCCGCCGTTTCGAGCCCCTTCTCCGCCGTTTCGATGCCCTTCTCCGCGGCCTCGAACCCTTCCTTCACTATCACCTCTGCCTCCCTCTCCGCCTCCTTCAGCTTCCTCTTCAGCCCAAACAGCCCGATGTCTTCGGCCTTCGCCTCCACCGCCACAGCCGCCAGCGCCGCCGTCCACGTCAGTGACAGCCCTAGCTGTCTCCGACCGTGTAATGCGAGTCCACGTGGCGGCGCAGGTTTGGAGGCTGCCGTGGGAGAGTTGCGGGGCGCATTGCACACTGGGTGGAGAGCTAGAACTGAGGCTCTCGCAGCAGCCATGTCTTTTCTTTCTGTGAAATTTGTGAATTCTGACACCACACGCTAACCAAATCTTCGAGCCACTTTTCTTGTATTTTATTTATAAAATAAATTTTGTAAATGACGAATATGCCCTGGACAACAAAACGCAACGTGTTGCAGTCTATATAGACGAACGAACGGTGCTCTTTCCATTTTCATTTTCCCTCTTTAAAATTGGGGGTTTCTAAGCGTACTCTGTACATTTTTGCGCCAGAACGAAGGTTTTTGATTTTGAAACCATGGTTGAAGAAGCGTCGGCATCGGTGGGCGAAACCCTACCCCAAAACGCGCTGGAGACTCAGAGGTCCAACGAGGCCACCATCACAGAGGGAGCTCAGGGAGGCGCCGAGTCTACTTGCAACAACGACAACGCGGAAGCTTCAGCTGTCACTTCCGACGGAGATCGCGAGAAGTCGCTGGAGTTTGCCGACGAGTTGATGGAGAAGGGTTCCAAGGCCATCAAAGACTCTGATTTCGGCGAGGCCACCGAGTGCTTCAGCCGTTCATTGGAAATCAGGTTAGGGTTTTTTATTTCAATGCTTTTTCTTGCTTGCCTGATTTCACATTCTTCTTGTTTGCTTTGAAATTGAGCCCTTTTGGAAGTTATTTGTTTGTTGGGCGTCTATGATGCTGAATATTGTTACCTTTGTTTGCTTTCCCAAACATTAACCCTAACTGTAGGTCAGTTAATTGATTTCTTGTGCTTCCGTTGCCTTGGTTTACATAGTCCTTTGCATTTTCAGAAATTGGTGTTGTGCCCGTGAGCCCCACTAAGCGTATAATTTAGTTTCCAAATCATGCATTTGTAGAGTACCAATTTCTTTATCTTTCATATCTTGTTGCATTTGCTTGGTGATACTCACTAATGCGTCTCGGCTTTTCATTGGGCTCAAGTGGTGAGGGAGGGTGGCGAAATGGGTTAGGACTTGGATAGGTTTGATTCCGCCAATGAAACCTGAAAAAACATGTTTCTCGGCTTTTTCATTAAATGTTTGCCATCATTTCTACTCTCATTTAATCTCAGTTGCTTATTAGCAGATGATAAATATTCTAAACTATTATATTTGTGTCAACAAAACCAGGGTTGCACATTATGGCGAACTTGCTCCTCAGTGTGTCAATGCATACTTTAAGTATGGATGTGCATTGCTTTACAAAGCTCAAGAGGAGACTGATCCCTTGGGTGCTGTACCGAAGAAGGAGGATGAATCTCAGCAAGGATCTGCTAAGGTTGGTTCTGTTAAGAACGTTGTAAATGGTGAATCTTCTACAGCTTCTGCTTCAAGTAATGCTGAACAGGATGAAAGTTTGAATCATGAGGAAGGAGCAGCTGATGAGGGTGGTATGTCACTTGTGATGCTTATTGATTATAATCATCTAATATAAAACTTTCATCTGTTGGCAGTCAATCATGAACAAAGCTCATGCTTTTTGCATAAATGTTGCACATATTCGAATATGATATCTTTATTACATATAATGCAATGATATTTTAATCATGTTTCTGTGATGACACCATAGTTGCTTACATAGTCTGCTTTACTATCATTATCCCATCTCAAATCCATTGGAAAAATCAAATGAATCATGATTTCTGTTATGGAACATATCATGGGTACATTACCATCATGGGTACTACATCCGATTTAAATTTCGAGGTGAAAATCTGCAAAGAACACTGTTCTGCAAATATATAAACCGGGAAAAAAAATCAACTTTATCCATTTGTGTGTGCATGTTCTCTCGTAGTCTGGTTTAGATCTTTGTGGAATTGAAGTATCATATAATCGATGTTTTAGTTTTTTATTTGGTCTGCATTTAGAAACTCATTTGACAGTCTGTTCTGGGCAAAATACTGAGAAATACTCTCTCATGCACACACATACACACACATACACAAGTTTAATAAAGCACCATTACCTGCAAAAATATGGTGCAGCCTGAAAAGCATATAAGTGACATAAACTTAGGTATACAATATTGTGTAAGATGATGTTTTCTGTCCCAAAACTGATGGGTTGAGAATTATTTGATTCAAATTACCAATGTAACTATAAGTTTACAGTGTTTATCCTTTTTATATCGACTGTATCATAAAACAGTTGTTCATTTCCTTTTCTGAGGCAGCTTCTGGTGAAAAAGACCAGGAAGAAGAACAGGATGATAGTGATGTTGAAGACCTGGCTGAAGCGGATGAAGATGAGACTGACCTTGATTTGGCATGGAAAATGCTAGATGTTGCAAGAGCAATTGTTGAAAAACACTCAGGTGACACAATGGAGAAGGTGGACATATTATCAGCTTTGGCAGAAGTTGCATTGGAAAGAGGTTTGTTATGTACTCAATTTAGTTGAATTGAGATCTGTATATCTTTCCTTAGGCGAAAGAGGTTCTTGAACTTCCACACTACACTTTTGGTGCATTTGTTTCAAAAGCATCTTATTTGGCTTTGTTGGTGCTTCTTGTAGAGGACATTGAAACTTCTCTCAGTGACTACCAGAAAGCGCTATCCATTTTGGAGCGGTTGGTTGAGCCAGATAGTCGACGTATAGCTGAACTGTATCCTATTCAAGATTGAAATATTTGAAATGCTCTGTTGGCTTTGCCAAAATCTCTTAAAAAGATTTTGTTCTATGTATTTACTTGGGACTTTGGTTCAAAAAATTTAGTTATAAGAAGTTCTTTTCCATGGTTTTTATTTTATTACATTTTCGTTTCTCCCATTCCACTGGGCCAGGGACTCAATGACCTTAACTGGAGAATTCAGAAACTTTCGAATATGTTTGTGTTTGGAGATTGGTTCCAAGCCTGAGGAAGCCATTCTGTATTGCCAGAAGGCTATATCAATCTGCAAGTGTCGTGTGCGGCGACTCATGCTTGAATCAAGGAGTTTCTCAGAATCTACGACCTCATCGGCTGCTTCTGTATTGGAGCAGGGTGTCACACTCTCCTCAACTGTGACTGAGTCTGATAGTACTGTGACAGATAAGCAGGCAGAGATTGAAACACTAACTGGACTCTCTGGAGATCTGGAAAAGAAGGTATTTATTAATTTTCTAACCTTTTTTGCCAGTTTCAAACATGTTTTTCTGATTTTTTGTGTTCTTGAGTTGTAGCTTGAAGATCTGCAACAACTGGCCTCAAACCCAAAATCCATTCTCGCTGAAATTCTGGGATTGGCGTCTGCCAAGGCAAAAGGCACTGAGAAGAGTGAATCTTCAGCAGGGCAGAGCTCTTCACGGATGGGAGCTGCTGACAACATTGGAGGCTTTGACTCCCCAACTGTTTCTACTGCTCATACGAATGGAACTTCCGGAGTCACACATCTCGGTGTGGTAGGAAGAGGAGTAAAGCGAGTATTGATGCACTCAGGCACTTCGGAATCAAGCTCAGCGAAGAAACCTGCTTTTGATTCATCTGAAGATAAGGGAGAGGGCAACACATCATGAAGGTTATGGATTCCAGTAATTGTATGAATAGGATTGAGAAATCTTCGTTGGATTCTAGATTCTAGTATTCTATGCAGTGATTCCTAGTTCAAACTAGTAGGCTAGTAGAGTTTTTGTATGGTGATAAATCTTACTATCTAGAAATTGAGATGAACTCGTCACGGGCAATGTGTTTAGTTGGATATTTTCCATGCTATCAAGTCATACTAGATTGTGTCCATTAAATGCTCTGTACAAATTGAAAGGTAGCATAATATGTTTTCTCATACTAATCATAGTTCTACAAGCACTCCAGAAAAGTCATCATATACTCTTAAATAGCGAGGTGCAAGGTGATTATTGACGATTATTTTGGAGTGTCGATCGGAGGGAACTCATTGCTCATGGGGTGGCACCATAGTGGAAAAGTGGGCCAAACCCTTTCCTCCCCAAACAAACGCACAAACGTAGGAGACAATTTTATATCTTCTTAAATAATTTAAAATTCATTCTTAAAAGCAAAATGTAAAATAATATATAGAATAATCTTGAGATTCAAATAACATCGAAACGACCTTCCAATGTTTGCAGCAGAAAATAAAAAATCCATTCAGACTCGTGATGACTAGATGCCCTTTTTAGAATAGTATTGCTCAAATTTGGTCATATTATTCGATTTGTTATACTTTCAATCCATCACTACCACAAGTTAGAATAACGATGTAGTTGATTTTTTTTTTTTTGGTCTGATTTGATTTCAAAATTTGCAACTCAAAGTGATCCCACAAGACAGAGAGGCAGTAAGAAAGCATTAATTTACAGCCAAAACCGTTGAAACCAGATTTATTAATGTATGATGAACATGTGAGACAGAGCTGTTCTTAGTTCCTACCAACGACCTTCATGGTTGGTGGGTCCATTTCACATTTGGCTTGGTTGGATTGGATTGGGATGTTCAAATTGGTCCATTTCTCTTGACATTTAATCATCCGGCAAGGGCACATATATATATGATAAATGTAACAAAATATAATTTTACTGCACATAAATTTAAGCTAATTGGCTGCAATATAAAGAGAAACATGTGGTGATTGAAACCTAACAAAGTGATGATGGAACAAGAGCGATTGATTTTTATTGGACCTGTCGAGTGATGAAGAATCCTAATTATGTCTGATAACGATGTGTTTGTGTTTGTGCTTTTGTTTTTACTGGTTTAACATTAATCACCATTGAAGCCCATCTTTCATCAGCTTGGGGTTGTTTTCTTCTTAGTGAAACAAACCAAACACAGAATAAAGTTGATTTCACTATTTGACATCACTGATTACAACAATATAGAATTGGAATTAAGCTTCGACAATAATCAAGCCCAAGAAGGAGATAAACTTACTTGTATCGAGGATGTCATTATGGCGGTATTTCGAGTCAATTAACCACTGTCATGCGTTTTTAACTTTCTGACATAATAATTTGTCATTAACTTGAGATACCATCGTAGTAACAACCTCGTAAATTCATAACTCGTTCTCATATGCGAATCATAAAAGCATCTTGACTAGGCCACATTGTAAAATTTCAGAACATGTGTGGAAATTTCTCACAATGCATTGGTTGTTGACAATTTAAAAATGTGTTTTTATTTTATTATTCTTTATTTTTATTATTAAAAAATAATAGAAAGTAGGAGAATTACTATGAGCGATAGCTTCAACACTAAGTTTGAGTGGCATTTGAGACAAAACAAGTCGATGATATCAGAGAGACATTGATTCTATTAATACCTTGAAATTGGATAAGGAGAAAGCCAAAGCCAGCAGAGAAACCAATCTATCTACACAAAAGCTTTAGCTTTAAGGTTGAGTTGAAATCTAGAGTTTTCCCAAAACGATGTGTTTCAGAGTGGATTGCAGGCAATGTGGGAAGTACTCCTGGGGAGGATGTGGTAAGCACTTGGCCACCCTGTACGCCAGCATAGATGAGGGGAAGCATTGCATGTGCCGCTCATGGCCTGGTGTGGCCATCCCCAAGCAGGGGACACCTACTCCCCAACAATCTGCAGCCTCAGCCTCAGGTATTTTATTATACTAGATCATTTTTCTTTATTTTTTTCAACTCAAACCTTGCCAAATTAGTACCCCATTGGTATGTTGAATATAATATTTGGTATGTTTGTGTAGCTAACCCTAATGTGATGCATGCGTATGGCATGTATGTTTTAGGGTTTATTAATTAAATAGGTTCATGTGTTTCTTGTTATACAATTTGACATCTTTTTGTGAATTTGAATCACATGTTTCAACAATAATCAAACTTACAGTCTAACAATATAACATCGATGTTATCCTTAAAAAATCGATTACAGGCCTAATAGCTTTGTTACCTTGCTATGCATAAAATGTTCATCTTCGATATTCTCAATGAGTATGAATGTCATAGGGTTAGATGTTTGACAAAATGCCTCAAGGAGTTAGAGTCTGAGGCGGAGGTAGGGTAGCGAGACAAGGGCAAATAGGCAAAGTGGCGTGCAACGTGAAGAAAAAGAAAATTATAAATCTATCTTTTTATGTTTGAGTGGCTTAAATTAATAACCTTTTATGCCTAATGTAGATCCTAAGCCCGTTGATTAGGGATGGCAACGGGTCGGGTATGACAATACCATCCCCGTCCTCGCTCTCCATCCCCGCCCCCATCCTCGAACTCATCCCTGTTTAATAGGTTTTAGGGAATCCCCATCCCCGTCCCCGTCGGGGGTCTATCCCTCGTACAAGCCCCGAATTCTCGATTTTTTTTGCATAAAAAAATATTTATCATACATTTTAACATTAAGTTTCATATTAAATTATTATTCAACACATCCAAATTAACTATAAAGTTCAACTCAACTGTTCAAAATCACATCAATATGAAATTCTAGAGAAGATTAGGAAGAATTATGAGAGGGAGGTTAACTTAGGGTTAAACATATATATTATATATATATATATATATATATATATATATATATATTTATTTATTTATTTATTTCAATATAAACATATATATATTTCGAGTCAGGTTCGGGGATAGGGATGCCAATACCATCCCCTCCCCATACCCGTCGATGATTTTTCAAGGTCGGGGATCCCCGTACCCGATACCTGTTTGGCCCCGAAATCTCCCCCCAATAGGGTCAGGGACTTGACGGGGACCCGGCCTTGTGGGGATTTTTGCCATCCCTACCGTTGATTGATCCTTGATGTTGCTTTGTGCAGGAAAGTAGCAACTCTGAGAGGCGTCCAATGCTGGCCAGCAGTAGCTGCCTTAATAGATTGATAGTGGTGCCAGCATAAATAATGGACAGATGGGGATAGCTTGAATAATGGCAGCTCAAAGCCTCAAGATGAATACCATCGTATCCATTTTAAGGGGTTTGTTTAATTAGATGTCGTCTGTCTAAGTTTAATAATAATAATGTTAGTGCTGGTGTGTTTATTGTCAAGAGATATTTGACCAATTCAAGCCTGCCTTTTTCTAGTGTAAGGATTGAATAATACTAATAGAATTATATTCCTCCAATCTTGTGCATGGTGCTCTTAATGCTTCAATTTACCATTTCATGAGTTTTCGTGTCTGTTTTGGGAGAAAAACTTCCATGGAACGAGAATAACACTATTTTGCTATCATCGACCAATAACGCTATGATACGCGAGATAACACTTCTACATGACATAAAATTATTGGCCGAAATAACAAAACAAAGCTATACCCGTTGCAACTAAATTTTTCTCCCGTTTTTGGACGGTTTGTCCATGGTTTTTGTGCTCCCTTCTTTTAAATTTAAACCCGCTTGTAATTGTTTAATAAGAAGAACAACAATATGATTAAGGGGATTATGAATTTCTAGAGTGGGGTTGCACCAATCTTCACAAAATCAACCTTGTGACCCACAGCGCCTTTTGTAGTCAACTCAATGTTTTTTTCTTTCTTTTTGGTTGAAAATTTTGGATCTTTATAGCTTGGCGTCTTATTGTCTTTCTTATGAAGATGGCTGAGTGGGTGTGTGCCCAAATAAGCCACCCTATCCTTATTTTGTGCATTTTGTCAAATGATTAGTCACCAAACCACCATTTGTATGAATAATTCTTCTTTCACTTGAAATCATTCAAAGGCAAGAAATTGCTATTAAGTCACAAGACTTCAACCAGAAGCAAGTGGGGTGAGGAGTTTGTTTGTTTTCCCATCCCAGTACCTCAATGACTGACATTATCATCACCATCTCCATCCCTTCTAACAATAGTTAATTATGCTTTAATTATTGGATGTCAATTAAAAACAATAAGTTCAGTAATTTCATAATAATCCATTTTGCTCAGACAGACCATTTTGAAATTTGAACACCTCTCAGTTTCCCACTATTTCCACGAAAAAAAATCAATGCACTCTGTTTTTCTTTGTCTTGTCATTAATGTTGGCATAAATGCAAAGCACACATAGTGGTTCAAGAGTAGATAAGCTGATATAAATGCATGAGAGTTCCCTTCTTATTTTGCTTTCAAACCTAAAATTTCCTAAATCTGTGAAAACAAGTTGGTATCATTATTAAAAAACTATAGGAAATTCAAGCCATACTACTAGAGGGATAACATGATAATACGTTACGATTTAGAGATAAATGAAATTCAATACGCACTAATTCTCATGATATAAACAAATGAAACACTACTCTAAAAAAACAGGCAAATGCTACTATGTTGCAAGAGGTTTGTAGCTCAAGTGGTTAAAAGTATTTACATCTGTATTTGAGGTCCTAAGTTCGATTCCCTCCTCCTCAATACCGCTAAAAAAGACTACAATGTTAGTTTGTAGGGTTTGTGTTTGTAGGCTTTATCACAAATTTGGAGGATGTAAAAAAATATTCTGGATTTCACTAGAAAACCAAACACTACAGTCCCTGCAGTACATTCTGTCACAAGCTCCAAGCATGTATTAAAGACATCCATATATACCTCATGGGGGCCGGCCAAAAAAAAAAACCCCACATGTGGGCAGTTGAGAATTTGTGATTTGGCCCCACTAAAAGTTAGAAACTCATAATTACTCTTATAATCAACTTTGATTAAGATTTTTAGGACATTCTAACCCTAAAAATAAACTTTGAAAGTAAAGGGTGTGTATAATTGCAGAAGCAAGGAAATGAGTTATGTATAATATGGGGCATGCTACATTGGATTATTATTATTAAAGTGAGCCCCCCAAACCCCAGA